AAACGGTAATAAACTAATAACCAAACTGTAACAAACCGGCAATAAGTGGGAATTTTATCGAATTTTAACTTATAATGTAATCTTAGTATTTGCCAAGATTCTGATAATTATAGGTATTTATAGTTAGCAAATAATCAACCATATTTCTCTTATAAATATAACAATGACATAAGTAATAAAACTGCGATGCACATATTTTAGGTTTTTACATATTAAAATTGACAAGTTATAAATGATCATTATCTCAAACTTGAGGAGATAATAATTAAAAAACATTATGATGTAAATAAACTGTGTACTTACCAGTTTTGTTGTGTATCTACCCGTAAATCTGTTTTTTAATGTTGTGTACACCACAACAGTCAGATCTTTAACGCTCTTGGTGGGAGACTAATAAGCGAACACAAATCCTTTGTGTGCATGACTGCACATACTGATTTTTTCAAACGGTCAATACACAAATGGAATTAGTTAAATTCGTTTTTAGGTCGAATATCACAAAAAGGACTTTATCAGCACATAGAGAATAAAAGGCAGATTAATATGAGTGAAAAAAAAAATATTTGAAAAAATACACATATGGAACTTGTCAGGCGCAGCGACGAAATCACGGCCAATAGTCATTTATAGCGACGGGTGCTGTGCCCAAAACAGAAACACTACTCTGTCAAATGCATTGTTGTATTATGCAAAGGTCCATCATGCTGAGATACAACAAAAGTACCTAGTTGTAGGACACACACAAATGGAATGCGATTCCGTCCATGCCTCCATCGAACGCAAAAAGAAAGGAAAAGAGCTGTATGTGCCAGCTGATTTTAATACAGTAATTAAGCAATCCAGACTGTCACAACCGTACCAAGTTAATTATTTAAATTACAGCTTCTTTAAAGATTTTTCATCAATAAATTATTTAAAATCAATAAGGCCAGGCACTTAAAAAGGCGACCCATGCGTCGTGAATATACGAGCTCTGAGCACAGTTGAAAATGAAGTACAGTACAAATTAAGTTTTGACGAAGAGTGGCAAAAATTGCCTCAACGTAAATTGCGGCAACAGTTGCAGACTAATGATGATATGACAACAATACCAAGCCTCTACAATGAGCGATTAACTATTACTAAAAGAAAATATGACGATCTACAAGACCTGAAACTGATGATCCCAGCTGATTATCATGATTTTTACGACAATTTGCCACACGATTAGTTTAGTGTCGTACTACCTATAATTTTTTTATAAATAAAAATTTGATAATATGTTCTTATTATTGTTTTATTCAATCATTTAAATTACTTTTACTTATTACTTTAAATTCAGATAAATGCAACAAACTTTTATCTTTTATGTCGAGTTACCAATATAAAGGTAACTGTGAGTGCAGCAAACTCGTATCTCAAAAATCGGGCCAAAACCTTAGAGTAAATAATTTTAATTGCTTTATGCTATCCACACACATAGCACAGGTATATTTCTAACTTACTGCATTAAACTTTTAACCAATATTCTGATATTTTACAAAATAAACGTTTTTTATTGTTTCCTGAACACTAGTCTGTTTTAAGATACGAGTTTGAGAAAGTAAGGCATCGATATGGCCTTTTAGGCACGTGAGCTTTTTGTAAGTGTATGAAAATACAAACACTTACAAATGCTAAGTAAATCAAGAATAAAAGAATCATTGCGATCATTTCAAAATGCATTTCATCGATACTAATGTTAAGTATTTAATTTGGAAGGATATACAATTTCATCGACTTAAAAAATAAGAATAAAACAATAATATTATTTTTATTAGTTTTATTTTTTCAAAAATATGTAGATATAAATTTATTGTACACTTATCAAGGAAAATTCGTTATGTAAAAATGTTTTTAAGACTTTATTGTTTACAGTCATCACTCCGCGTAATAAATGTGTCAGAAAATAAAATTACAGACATGGCTTGGGCTAGGCCATTGAGACGACTAGAAGTTCTGATTGCTAAAAAGAATAACTTGGAAGATTATCAGGTAAGTAAAAGACGATTCAATTGTAGATAATCATAAAGGTTTTTAAAATCTTGTACTGTGGCAAAAGTAATATCGTTTACAGCTGTGACGTGTTGAGCACATCGCTGTCACGGCATAAGGCTTGATGAAATAAAACCTTTCAAATGTAAAAAAAGGTTTTATTTTATTGAAGCTCTGCTGTGACAGCGCTGTGCTCGATTTCGAGATCGAGGCTGGTTTTATTACGGTTTAACAAAGCTGTACAGATTGGTCGGTTCAAACGACTGTAAATGCAGCCAGGACCATTAGATCATGGTTATTTTTTGTCGTTTATCTACTGACCCTTTGCGAAAATTGTTTAATATCCGAAATCGCAGAACAATGCGTAAAGGTTGAGTTACCTTCACTATACCGTTCTTTAGATGGGTGAACTAATATTTATTATCTTGTGTTACTCAGTACGTATTTCAGAATTCACGTCAGTCATTGGTCCAGGCTGCATCTGCATCTATAGTCGTTCATACCTTTATTGCTTGTTTTTCCTATTTATGGGGACAAACTAAAAAAAACCGTGAAAATAAAGACGATATATCGATACTTTGCTTTCGCAGGCTGTCGCTGATCATCTTTGTATGTTGGTCAGCCTAGTGGATCTCAACTTCATTGGCAATCCAATGACTAAAAAACATCGTTACAAAGAGACCATTATTGCCAGATGCGCGCAGTTAAGTGAGTAGTAAATATAATTTTACTAGAAATAACAAAATATACGACCTCAGTTGGCATCTGTAAGGTACGGTCGGGTCAATTACATAATGTCTCGGATTTGGATTGTTTGGTTGTTTGGGTTTATTTGATAATATAAGTGCTAAAACCTACCATATTTAGAATCTGTGCAATTTACCCTTTTCCCAATTATAGGTATATATTTTAGAATCAACACAAAATATATTTATATAGTCAATATATTAATATATTTTTCTTCTAAACTGCTTTTTTACACATATTATCTTTCATACAGTCTATCAATTTTTCATAGATCTTCCTCTCCTTACATTTCCTTCACATTCAGGTTCTGGGTGTATCAATACGGGGCCCCCGGACCGGGCTACATGGCCCCTAACGAGTGTAAATCGGAATTGTTATACAATTTTAATCAGATTTAGGATAACTTACTTTCTAGACTAATAAAATAAATCAGGAAAGTCTTAAACATAATTCGGGAATCGGTAGTGATTATTAATTATCATTTTTCGCACTAACTATGATGACGGCAACAGGGGTACTCGACACAGTCGTCATCAATCATACTTCCAAGACTTTTCTTGAAAGTTTCGACAAAGTGGTGAGACTCCGCCAACTTCATGAGGCGAACAAACTTAATGTGGACCAGCGAGGCGTGGACGAGTTCTTCGAGCTGAATATGCTGCCAGGGCCTAGAGCACAAAGTGCACTATCTATATCGGAGTACTCCACGGGGGGGACACTCCCTTAGTAGCCATAATTTTGCAAAGATAGTAGCGACATCCATTTTATTTCCCCAAAACTATTATGAGTACTACCAGGTGTGCATAAACAATACTAGATGACGCTACACGCACTCTCGAAAAGACGAAATTTTTTACTTATTTGGATCAATTTGTCAAAATCAATATGGCGATTACTGTGCTCTTGCGTTCATATATTTGTATTTTGTCTTCGTCATTTTGTTCTAGTGGCTACGAAACCTCAAGTTAAGTGTGTCGAGTTGAGATTTATTCTTCTCCACCTTACCGTGTATTTGTGCTGTGGATTTCTGTAGTTTCAGAACTTTATCGCGACAGGACGCTTATTTAAGTTTGTTTTGTGTTAAGATTATTATTGTCGTAATGCCCCGACTTTGTTCTTTCGGACGACACCTAGTGGTAAGCATAATAATAATCTATTAAACTTCAATGCAGCTAACTCACATCATGTTTTTAATTGACTTTAACAATGAGGTTATCAATTATTTATTTTCCTTCTTATCAACACACTAACGAAACAAAAATAACCAATAAGTTTCTATAACACACCGTATAAAGTGGAAAGAATGAGATAATAACTATATAATGGCTATATCTTTAATGTCTATAATATTGCCATGACTTCCTGTTTCAGATGTCACTATGCACTCATTCCCAAAACCTGAAGTTTCCTGAACGTTTCAAAGCTTGGGTTACATTGGTTGGTGGAAAACTGGAAACAGAAGGAAAAAGTTTGCGATATTCATTTTATACACAGACATACAAGTCGTTTTAGACGTTTGAATGCTTTGGATGTCCCATCAGAGAATTAACAGGGTATGTATGTTTATTTTGAAATACAGTAAAAGTTTAGAAATCGCTTTAGGCACGAATCTTAGGAATAACATAAAAATGTGTAATGAAACAAACATTATGAAACAATGGGAATAAAAAAAGGATGGGCTATGTTTTGACAAACTCCATATAGGTGCAGATGTGCTTGTGTGTCATGTGAACATTAATTAGTATGGCCCCGATTGACAAATTTAAAATCTAGACACTAACAATGAGGTTATCAATTATTTATTTTCCTTCTTATTTTCTTATCAACACACTAACGAAACAAAAATAACCAATAAGTTTCTATAACACACCGTATAAAGTGGAAAGAATGAGATAATAACTATATAATGACTATATCTTTAATGTCTATAATATTGCCATGACTTCCTGTTTCAGATGTCACTATGCACTCATTCCCAAAATCTGAAGTTTCCTGAACGTTTCAAAGCTTGGGTTACATTGGTTGGTGGAAAACTGGAAACAAAAAGAAAAAGTTTGCGATATTCATTTTATAGACAGACATACAAGTCGTTTTAGACGTTTGAATGCTTTGGCTGTCCCATCAGTGCATTAACAGGGTATGTATGTTTATTTTGAAATACAGTAAAAGTTTAGAAATCGCTTAGGCACAAATCTTGGGAATAACATAAAAATGTGTAATGAAACAAACATTATGAAACAATGGGAATAAAAAAAGGATGGGGTATGTTTTGACAAACTCCATATAGGTGCAGATGTGCTTGTGTGTCATGTGAACATTAATTAGTATGGCCCCGATTGACAGATTTAAAATCTAGACGGCAATACCTGAAAGCGGTTGGCTTATTTAATATATGTCACAGTGAGTATGACTGTACTGAATTAATAAATAAAATTAATTATTTAGTACCTAAGCGGGCGCAAACGAGCTCCCTGCGTAAACACTAACTGTTTGCTATATTTAAATTTTGTACAAATACAGGCAAGAGATCTCCAGTGCATTGAGTAGCAAAATTTTATAACAATGGTTTACATGAAATCGACATATTCAATTTAAACAAAACAAAATTCAAAGAGTTAGTTAAGAAAGAATAAGTGAACTAAATTGCAATGCCATATCATCATAAAGTAATATATATATCATATTTGTAACAGTTTTGTTTGTGTAGTGTTCATTTTTCTTAGTAAGTGTTTAAGATGATAATATATGCAACTTTCAACTACTCATAGTAACTTGTAGTTAACGTTGCTTTTGCAATTATAAAACTGTGTACATCATATCATAAATTGGAATGCTATTGTAAAACTGTTTGTTGACCCAAATAAACAAAACAAAAAAAAAACTCCAAATCTATGTTGGCTTAGTAATAGTAACAGGACAAATTATAATATTACTAAATTCTATACATACACTTTCCTAAAAGTCACGAGCACAGCTAGATTTGTAATGATTCAATTTAATATATTGATCAATCACATGATGTTTTCTAATTTCTACTGTATATAAAAATTACCACCAATAACCATTACATATCCAACCAACCAGTGACATGTATAGTTATTGTTTTAGTAAAACTCAAAAGAGTATTTTTATAATTTCCAGGTTCAAGGGGAATTCTTGAGGAGCTCCCAGTTGCTCCTAATGAAGAAAATAGTCAATTGTCAAGAAGTTCAGGTAAATTTAACTTGGAACTATAAATTTGAATTAAATTTAAAATAAAGATTTTAATAATCTATTTTTTATGGAAGAAATTACATAAATGTTCATTTTTATTACAGGTTTGTTTCCAACAATGACAGAGGAAAGTTTGTATTCTTCAAAGTATGGCAACCAATCTCATGATAAATTGCAATCTTCCCAAATGTCCTCTTCAGGTAAATAAATAATTATTAATACACACTAGTATACTGGGTATGCTTAATTATTATAATAACTTTTTATATAATTTCATATCAATAATTTTATTATTATAAAATGTACATTTGAAATAATGACTATTGACATTTACTGACTGACATTAACAAGACATTTAATTAGCTCAGTGTGATCTTATATTAGGTGGAGGTGAATGAATATATAAATAAATAAATATTTAACAACATCACATACATTGCTCAGATTCCAAGATGAGTAGCTAAAGCCCCCGTATTATGGAGTATCTGAGACAACGAAGGTACCACAACACCCAGACCCGAGTCAATAAAGAAAAGTTCATTTACTACATTGACCCGACCGGGAAACGAACCCGGGACCTCAGAGATGGCGACACCTTGAAACCGTGCGAACCACTCGCCTACGGAGGTCGAATTTTGTTTAAAATAAGACTTGTATTAAGTAATATTCATTTTTTTTTATATCAACATATATAATATTCAAGACGCCTAAAAACAATTCATTTAGCACTTATATAAAGTTCACCTGTTTTAATTTTTGTTGATATAACCATCATTCTATATATCACTCAAATAAAGTTTTTTTTCTCATTAAGTTTAATTTGTATACCAAGTAATTAATATAACCATTATTTTATATATTTAGCAATGTTTAATTACAATTTTATTATAATCTCTAAAAATTGATACAAAGATTATAATCTAATTTATGAAGATTATATAGTTATACAACTAAAGACTACAAGTTATACTACTAAACATATATATAGTCAGTAGTTTTCTGTGGAAAATGTAAGAGCGAGAAAAAATTACTAAATAGAAGTAGAAACTACAATCATTTCTGATATAAATAATTGATTTCGTTCTCAAATACTAGTTGAAGACATAGATTATTTTTTGGTATTAATAATATAGATATATCTTTAATTTTCAGTTGACTCTCAGTACATCCCTTATGTAGAAGATATCATCAGGGAACATAACTATAGTTCGTGTAGCAGATCTAAAAGAACGCACCTCCACAAGGTATTTAATTTAAACAGTTATAGTAAATAATTTTAAAAACTATTATCATGGACCTTTATTATAAACAGTACACAAAAGGTTTCTTTTTTATTTTACAGTTGCTGATTATATTACCAAAAAGTTTATGCGGCAGATAAATGCTATGGAGAATTAAGATTATTAAATAAACTAACGGAGGAACACATTGATCCTGAAAAAAATAATAAAATGAGAGTGAAATTAGCAACACAAGTATTCAGTCACAGTATTGCTGTAGTTGCTGAGCACCTTACAGTGCGAGGAGATTTGCAAGAAGAGTGTCGTCAACTGGTGAACATAACATTATTAATTGATGATTTATTTGACAGTCTAAATATCAACACGCTAAACATTCCCAATGGAAAAATTTATAAAGGTCCGGTAAAGCGAATCTCACCCATCACGAGTTATGGACTAGAGCAAAAAAAATTTTGCATAGTGTAAAATTCATAAAAAAAAAACAAAATATTGCTGGTCAAGTCATTGCAACAAAAAGTGTAATTCCTTCATCCAAAAATTTTATAAAAACAATTGAAAACATGGAGGCAATTTGGAAGGTTTTGTATCAAAACTATAGGTTAGATTGTTTGTTGACTAACAATTTAAATCAAGACCCCATTGAAAACTTCTTTGGGAATATCAGGAGTTAGAAACATAGCTCCTAACACTGTTGGATTTGAAGGAGCGTATAAATCATTGCTATTAAATATTTCAACACGCCTCATTCACTCAAAATAAACTGTGAGGCAGATTATAATCAATGTCTACAAAACATAATTTTTTTAACAGGAAATTTAAAAAACTACTGATATTCCCAAAAATGATAGTGAAATATTTATTAATTAAAATATTATAATGGGCTCTAATGAGAATAGTGACGCCGGTCAAATTAACTATGTATGTGGATGGGCATTAAGAAAATATTTGAAAAAGGCGAAATGCAATGCATGCAGCAATATATCGCAAGATAAAAATGGAGAGAACCTACATAATACATTTATAAAATCAAAAGAATATAAAAATTGGTTATGTTATCCAAGTACTCTACTAGAAAATTGCTTCCGTGATATGCAAAATATTACTCACATAACGTTAATTTTTTTTTTTACCAAAAGTAATATATCAGGAAATATACTTTGTTGTAAAATTATTTGTAACTGCCTCCTGTGTGTTCTTGTTCTTATCACACTGATTGTTTTTATTAACATTTTGTTAAAACAACTGTACATTTAATTATTTATAATTGGTGCAAGTCAGTAAATAGAATTTTGAGTGGAAGAATTAATTACCAGGGTGATGACGAGACCAAATTGACAGCGCAAGTATATTATAATAAGAGGAAACAATACAAAAACAGAAAATAATAAAATGTATACTTGTATTTTTTATGAATGACTATGCTGATCATGTGCTGTATGCATTTGTTTAACTTATCGAAATAAACAACTTATAATAAGTGAACAATGTCGTTTCTTTTTCAAGTTTTTGTCCTCTTTTTGTTATCGTCGCTCGAAAAATACAAACTGTAAAAACCATAGTAAAACTTTTAAAAGAAAGTTGTTCATTATGCTCAATTTTCTTTTAAAAGTTTTACTACAGTCTTTACAGTTTGTATTTTTCGAGTGGCGCGAAGAAAGAATCCTATAACTATAATACATACCTACTATAGGTATACCTATATAGCAATAGTTTTTGGGGAAGTAATGCAGATGGCGCTTCAATTCTGATTGGCACTAAATACACGCGAGAGGGCACTCTTTTTCCGTATTATTACTGTACTCTTTGGAGTACTCCAACCAGAAGCCAAAGAGTAAGACGATTTTTTTTGTTTCTTTTTTTTATCTGTGCAGCAGATTTTTTTAATATAGTAATTTTATTTTATTTTGTCTTTTTCTTTACATAATATCTTATTAGTATTTACAGGCTTGTATAAGCATAATTAAACATTAATGAAAAAGCATAGATATATTTTTTTATTCAAATAATTCTAAGATGAAGTAAAATCTAATATTAAATCTCAAATAATATGTACATAGATTAAAAATCATAGGGCCTAAATATTGTTATGGTAAAAGAGATGTGGTATACATAGTTACAATAATATTGGATTAAAATAGCTGAATAGCTTCAAAAATAATTTGAATTTTGAATGGTTTAAAGTGACCGCCGTAGACGCTTCGTACACATTCATGCCGCGCGCTTTCTGGCGGACAAGACCGACGCCTTCGCCTCGTGATGCCGTCAGCACGGTTCCGCCCATGGAGGCTCCGCCACTACCGAAGCAACCAGTGGAGCCGTCTGGCCCTCCTATCAAGGGAATATTAAAGAAACCCATGCCAATGAAATATTTGTCTTAAATTTGTTATGTATTGTTTTAATTTGAATTTATATTAATATTATGATTGTGGACCGAATAAATTCTTTTGTAAGAAATTTAGTATACAAGAGTCAACTAACACGGTTTTCATTACTTTTTTCATAATATATTTCTTTAATAGTGTAATATGTGTTGTTTGCGTCACTACACATCAGTTTCAAAATGGTTTCAAATATTATATTTGTATATTGTGTTATGGTTGTGAAAATAATACAATTCTGTGCCCAATTCATATTAATGAACAAGTCCTATATACAGTAGCGGCGTTAGGGTAGGGCGCGGTTGGGCGACCGCCCAGGGGCGCCGGCCAAAAGGGGCGCCGCGGCTTGCGGCGCCCCTTTTGGCTTTTTCGTCCGGTGCTTCTTTCTGCTTTTTCGTCCGGCGCTTCTTTCTGATTCTGTATATTGAGGAAGTATTAAAAAAAATTAAAGGACTACAAAAGTACCTCCACTAGATGGCGACTCTAGCAAAAGTTGATTTTTGCAGGAAACTAACGGACCAAAGACAGTCATTTCCGTTCCTTTTAAGTAATAAATATATTAAAAAACTGAAATTTGAAATGTTCGAATCTTAGATATCAATACAAATACGAAAAAGTACAAATAGAATATGAGTTGTTAATTGAGTTTTGAAAACTGGAAGGGTTGTTATGGAGAAATCAAGAACATACCGTAGCGACATCTAGTTTGATTTCGGGAACTAATGTTTTTTTTTCTCATACTTCCTCATTTTCCACAGGCGCCCTCTTATAGTTCCCTTCCTCATTGAACAAGGCCTACTGGGTCGGCGAAAAAAGAACAAGAACCTTGAGGATTTTTTTTTATTTTCAAGTTGCCTCACTTTCAGCATGATTTGAAAGGAAACTTAACAAGAAAAATATTATATTATGGTAAAACAGAACAACATACCGATTACCAATACGAAGATATGTATTTTATTAGGTAATATGACGTACATTGGCGGGCATTATCGCTCGGTCATTTAAGAAAATTTTCGTTTGAGCATGTTTAAACGTTAAGCTGAAGCTAAAATGCTGCAATACAAACGAATGCATCGGCAGTGGAACCTCTGTCTGGCAAGTCAGATGGAATAGCTACTCAAGAGATTGTGGATGAAAAATCCCGTAAGGGAGCAAGTTGTGCTATGATTACAGATGCTGCTCAGGATAAATCTGTTATTGATGTACAACAAATACATGTACTGATGATGTTGATACTGTTGTCCCGAATATAGCGGATCCAGCTACTTGTCCACTTATTTGAAATAGCAAAATAATTGATAAGTAGTGGCCCACTGCAAACTCACTGTCACAAAGTTACAACAATTACACAAAGTTATAGATAACAATTATGTGACACCCTGTTAGGGTAAAATTGAATCTGTCCTTACCTTATGATGTGATCCGTCAAAAATGAATCAGCTACTTATACGCTATTTATATGTCTACTTTTTAAATAAAACTAATGTCACTATATAGTTGGAACAAGAGCATCGTAACGTAGCGTTAAACGTTTGATTACTGTTTGTTTGTTTTAAAATAATCGAATAATTGTTTTAAGAGTGTCCACTTATGTCGAGCAAGAAGATAATTGTTGATTGTGTTCTTCTTCGTCAAAAATTAAAAGAGATAAATCTAGGGAATCCCCGATTATAGAAAAACACATTGTTTCTGTATGGTCGGAAAGTCGGGGATTCCCGAGAAATTAAACCGATTGAACACTACTTTCCATTCTAATGCTGCCAACTTAACAATCTACCTAAATTTAGGGAAGATTACAAGTAAATAGGCCGGGTCGGCGAAAAAAAGACAAGTAACTGATTTGTAGTATGTAGTAGTAACTGATTGTAATTGAATTGCAGTTAGAGGGCGCCGAAGAAATTTCGCCCAGGGCGCCAGTAGTGCTAAAACCGGCACTGCCTATTTATATTGTTAATGCAGTGGAACTTTCTTTATATAACATCATATGAAAATAAAAAGTATAGATAGCACAAAATGCAATATATAAATTATTCATTTATTATTCAAATATTTATCGATAATCTTACAATAATTTAATTTAATTTAACTTTTTGTTTGATAATTTATTGTATGATTTTTTGGAAAAGATCAATTAATATGTAAATACTGAGGTATATGGATTTTTTTATCCCGTATTGCGAAAGGTCGTTTGTTCGAATATCATCACAGGGGGCCAGGGACAAGTGGATTTTTTAAGCATTTTTCACTAAGAATATTTTTCAGTATATCATTGTGAATGCTAAATTGATTAATAACATAACATTTGAAACAATGAGATACATTAGGTATATTTATTATTAGTGAAATTACGTTTACTTATTGTGAAAACCATAATAGCAGTTACTGTTTTGGTCAACAATAATTAGTAACAACAAAAATGGTGTGCTATCTTAACACAACCAAACTTAATAAGTTTACTCGTCAACCAGTGTTTATTTGTTAACGGTACTGATTGTCGAACGCAATTACGTCACCAAAATGGCAGCTAGAGTTTGGCAAGCGAAACGTGACACCACCTATTTTTCCGTTTTCATATGGCAACAACATAGAACTGTCAGTTTGACACTACGTTAGACAATTCAAGAATATTGAATTTTGTTGTTTTTGCGAATTTGAACTTGTGTTTTTGGTTAAAAATTATGTCGAAGCCGATAAAAAGTTCATCGAGGAAACTTCTTTCCATCATGATTGACAAGTTTACTGAAGTGAAAACTGAATTAAATAAAAATTTCATGGAGAAATTACAACGATTAGATAAAGTTGTATCTTTTTTAGGTTAGTTTTGTATTATAATTTTGATACTTTCGTTTTAATTTTCTGTAATTAACTAAACAGATATTTTTTATAAAATATTGCTCTATTTCAGATAACTGTGATGGTGATATTCAACCAATAATGGAGGAGATAAATGCAATAAAAACTTTAGAAAAACAAGAAATGCTGAATTCGGAAACGCAGTACTTACAAAAAATTTCTTCAATGACAGGTCTCTTTTCTTGTTTTGATTTAAGATAGATTGATAGTATTCCTATAATATTTACATAGGTTTTTTATGATGTATTGGTTTTTATTGTTGACATCCAATGATGTCATAAGAATGTTTTGTTTAACAAGGAAATTCACAGAATTCATGAAACTAATCAAACCATGTAATTGTTATACATGCTAAATATGCACATAAACTTAACTAAATTAAACATAAATTGCATTCATAGTTGAATAGGTATTTAAATTATTTTGATGTATGTGTCTATCATTATTTGCTTTTAAATACATTTAACATATCTTTGTTTCAAAGTGTTTAATCTTTTATAGATGTAAGTATAAGGACACTAAGAAGGATAAAAAATGAAGCATTAATTAATAAAGGAAAATGGGACACTCCTGGGAAAAAACGACCTCATCAACCAACAGTGTCTGCTTTAGATAATTTTGATTTAAGTGCAATTCGGAATAAAGTAAATGAATTTTACTGTGTGAAAAAAATTGTTCCAACATTAAGAAGCCTTCACAATGAATTAAAAGATGCAATAGGATTCAGTGGTAGCCGTGAGACTTTACGAAAAATTATGCTTAAGAATGGATTTTCTTTTAAAAGCAATGAAAATGAACGTTCTATGCTTATAGAAAAATACCAGATTTCTGCATGGAGGCACAAGTATTTGAGAGAAATAAATATAAAACGAAACGAAGGAAAGCAAATTGTGTACCTTGATGAAACTTATGTACATCAGAATTATAAAGTTAAAAAGTCTTGGCAAGGACCTTCAACAACTGGTGTCACTACAAAGATATCCTCTGGAAAACGGCATATTGTTGTGCATGCTGGATCTGAGGAAGGTTTTGTGCCTGGTGCATTATTAGTGTTCAGTAGTAAATCCAAATCTGCTGATTATCATGATGATATGAACTCATCGAACTTTATGAAATGGGTCAGAGAAAAATTAATACCAAATTTAAGTAAGCCCAGTGTAATTGTTATGGATAATGCCATGCCAGCTACCATATAAAACAAATCAATAAACCGCCTATAATGTCTAATACCAAAGCAGATATCCGTAAATGGCTTGTAAATAATGGAATACATTTTGAGGAATATCAGACAAAGGCAGAGTTAATGTGTTTGGTTAATGATAAGAAAACATTGCCTGTATATGAAGCTGAAGAGATTTTAAAAGAACATAATCATGAACTTTTATTGCTGCCACCGTATCATTGTGACTTAAACCCAATAGAGATGGTTTGGAGTCAAGCAAAAAGAAAAATTGCAAGCAGAAACATTGGAATACCAGGAAAGGAAATGGAAAACTTAATAATAGAGTGTTTTAACTTAATTACCCCTAGTGACTGGAAGAAATACACTGATCATGTTTTAAATGTCGAAAATGATTACAAATTAAAAGATGGCATTGTTGAAAACGAACTTGAAAAATTTATTATATCTGTTGGTGCAGACAGTAGTGAAGAGAGTGACTCTGATGATTCCTTGTCATTGTTATCAGGTGTAGAATATTTAGAAACAGATTTTGACTATGAATCAGACTAAAGTATTTTTAGTCTGATTCATAGTCAAAATCTTATCTTAAATTTTCTATTGTGATTAACATGATGATTTTGTGACACCTGTATTATGTAATTTATCCATGGCACTTAATTGTAACAAAAATAAATGTTTTTTTTATTGTAATCTGGTGTTTATATTGACTAATTTAATTTGATAGATAGTGGTTCTGGATCAGAGCAAAAGGTTGTGATGAAAATCCCTTAGGAGACATGTATGTGTTATGAACACATTATAAATATAAGGGCCAGAAATCAAAATTGGCTAACATCACATTTATTAAAAAAATGTGGCCAGAGTCGCCCATATTCATTACAAAAAAACAAAGAAGTCGTTGCAAAAAACACCCTTTTAATTAATGACAAATATGAATTTTTAATATTATAAGTGCTGTTAGCCAATAGGTATAACGAATGGGTTAAAAAAAAGATTCGATTTAGTCCGTCAGTCAGATAATAGAAAAATATTGGATACGTATTTTTTTTCGCTTTAATTTAACAACAAATGGCTTAAGAGGTACTATGCGACGACTTCAAATATGCTTTGCAACAATGTTACTTTAATACAGTTTATCGATACGAAATCAAGTGTCAAAATGGAGTCCAGTGGAGAATGCCGATATTGACATTTCGAAATTGCTCATCATTGATAGAGAATACGAAATAGTGATTTTGACACAATCAAAGTGTCTATTTTTTACGGTGATGACGATTCTTGGTTGTCAGTTGAGTTAGTGAATAGGCCTACTGATATGCTGTTAACTGTACAATTAAGAACAGTCACGCTTTAGTCAAATGTTCCAAAACAAATAATTTTAATTGATATCTAAATGTTAAGATTAAATATAATTAATAAAAGTATCAAAATTATTTTGCAGTACTACATTCAGTGTTTACTGCTTAAGAATTTTTGAAATTGCCGCCCTTTTCTTGTGACACGTTTCGCTTGCCAGACTCTAGGCACATTAGCAATTTGCAAGGATTATAGGAATGTATTAACTCTGGTACTAACACGAAGTAAGTAAGACAACAAAATGTGTTACCGCTCTTTTCCTCCAAGTAAATTTATGATTTCCGACATATTAGAGAAAAAAGTAGATGTCAGAAGAGTCTGTTTTATTTATGTTCCTTGGCTTCATAATCGAGAAAAATGTCAAAAGTTTTTGGGTGGGGTATCATTGTTTGTTAATGTCAAATTGAGAAATCAAATATGCAGGTATTTTGTTTTGAGGTTATTAGTGGTTATTAGCAAAGACAATTTAAACCCTACTTGTTAGATTATAGAGTTAAATTTTTTTGAGAATTCAATTTAATTATGTTGCGTAAAAATGAGTGATAAAATAATTGAAGCATTTAATGTTCTTAATGAAGAGACTACCGGTATGTAATAAATAATAATATGTAACTTTTTTAAAATATTTCCTACACAGATTCATATAATCGAATACTTTATTTTACTTTAGCACTTTATCTGGATGCCGACGTGACTCAAATTAACGAATTAGATCCCCTGGAGTTTCAGAGGGATTATGTATCGAAGAATCTACCAGTTATAATAAAAGGCGGCTGCGCAAGCTGGTCTGCTACTAAGAAATGGAGTATACAATACTTTAGGTAAATAGCAATTCCAAAGTATTTTTTATCATTGATCTTTAATTATGATTTATTTTAATCTTTATTGCAATGCAGCTTATGATAGGAACAAAATGTTTGAGTCAGATTAGAAAGAGGGCTAGGTACAGTCAATGGCACATCAAGTTATATAAATTTGTTTTATTCATTATTTGATTTTATTCATTATTTTTTAAAGAAAGCGTTTAAAATCATCTGGAGAAATTTGACATATAGTGGTAACCTGTCGTACTGACTAGTTTACAATCAAATCAATTTTATTTTTCAAATTATCTTTACTAAATCTTTATCTGACTATATTAAGTTATCACATCTCAATTTGATGTTTTTGTTTGTTAGCTGTGTTTAAACCAAACAATAACCCGTTCTATTTTGATTATTAGAGACAAGATCCCAAATAAAAAGGTGTCAGTGGCTTTAACGCCAAATGGCTTTGCCGATGGAATAACAATGGACAGCAAAGGGGTGGAATATTTTGTAATGCCATTTGAAACTGAGATGACGATGGAGGAATTTTTAGATCACTTGGAAGAAAAGAGGTAATTGATAAATACAAAAAAGAATTGTTTTTAATTTTTAGAAAAAAAAAATCCAAACTCTCATTTAACAGACAATGTTGAAATCCTTTACCCTGACAGTTTGCCTTTGCTCTTCACCTTCACATTAAAACTGCTTAGATTATTCAAAAATATAAAGGAATAGCAAAAAAGAAAATTGTAAGATAAGGTAATTATACAGCAGTTTTACCTCCTCTTGGGAATACCCGTCTTAGACATTAAACCATCTTTTGCGTTAATGAAATGACATAAAAAAAATAATTTAAATATTACTCTGGTATTAGTAATAGTAAATGTTACCAAACAAATTTTCTAATTAAAAACATTCATTAGAGCTTAGTCATCATTAATCCTTAATGGACTTTTGTGCAACAGGGTGTAGACAATCATTCAACTCCATTCTTACTATCTTATCCACAATGATATTATGAACCGAGGGGTAGCATGTGGGGGGATAAGAATTAAAAAAGGTTCAACAAATGTTATTAGCAAAGGTCTTTATACTTTATTAAATTGAAGTCTTGATGTCGCTTTCCACAACCTGTAAATAAAATAATTAAATATCCTAATAGATCTTATGTATTTTAGACCAGGCATGATTCCGTACATACAGAAACAGAACTCCAATTTAACTGAAGATTTTACAGAACTTCTAGCGGACGTGAAAAGAGAAATTCCATTTGCTAATGAGGCATTCAACAAATCACCTGATGCCATTAACTTCTGGATGGGGGACGAGAGAGCCGTCACATCTAGTTAGTATCAGGTATATATAAACAGGTCAAATAACAAAGATCTTTGAATAAACTTAAGGGCCCTGTTATATTTCGACTGTGATATCTGCTTAAATTTTGGTGTTGTTGATCTAGTAATATATAGTGCATTCCAATGCACTATATATTGCATTCCATTCCAATGCACTATATATTACTAATTTTGACTTATTGTATAGTACAGAACAACTTTTGGCATACTCTTTAGCGACTTCGCTTTTTGTAAATTGTGGTTTATTTTTTAAATAAATTATTAAACCCAAAATTGTTGACAAGGGCGTCGCTGGGCGCAGGAGGGGCAGCTGTTCCCCCTCTACAGTGTTCTAAAAAGTTATCTAATGTTAAGCAATCAAAGTCTTAAGTCTTTGACTTCACAGTCTGCTTGATCAATCATTCCTCTATATCGAAACTCGAATGAACCATTCTTACTTACTTCTATTTCGTCCGCTTGGACTCGGTTATTAAAGCATACGTTTTGAAAAAAAAAATAGAAATAGTAAAATTCTATATCAAACTTCATCCCCAATAGATCCCCGCGCTCTGTCTTAATCGGGTGCTGGAGGCACTTGTTTTTTTAATTACATATGTTCTAATAGTAATATAAATATAAATAATTTGGTTTCAGTGCACAAAGATCCTTATGAGAACATATATTGTGTCATTGACGGTTACAAAGACTTCATTTTGATACCACCCACTGATTTGCCGTACGTTCCCTATAAGAGATACCCTCGGGCTGAATTTAAACTAATAGAAGGCAAATGGGAGATTATACCAGTGGAAAAAATGAATGTGAATCAAAGTGGAATAGAGGGAGATAAGCTTGATGACGAGCTCGAAGAAGCTATGTTACCTTGGATTTGTATAGGTTTGATTTTTATTTATTATTTCATATAATATTGTACAGTTCAACCCAAGGAATATGACATGTCATGTCCATTTACTTTGACAATTTTGACAGTGACCAAACAAATTAATATATATCATTATGTACGTCCGTTTCACATTAGGAGGGGATCAGCCCTGCGATTCTGTAAAAATCCAAACTCAAATTCGAATTCACTCAGGTGCAGAATTGCAGGGCCGGTGTTCTACTTGAATAATGCTGACAGACCGACATTAGTCGCGCTTCTAACTTTAGCATTTTCAGTTTCATTTGTGAGTTATATTAGTTGTAGAAAAAAAGATGTTATGTTTTACTGTATTCACATATATGGCATTATATCAAAATTGTTAATACGGTACATCACAGACGTTTTATTATATTCTTATATATAAAACGTATATTATAGACATAGAAACTTACAGGATATATTGTTAAATGTGCTACACTTGGAGACTATTTTTTTTTTCATTTGTACTCATATTGTCCTATCGTTAATTTTTGTCACAATTTTTTTTTCAGATCCTCTTCATCCAGATTACGGCAAATACCCTGATTATCAGAAAGCCCACAAATATCATATACGTTTAGACAAAGGTGATTGTCTGTATTTGCCTAGTCTATGGTTCCATCACGTCCGCCAGAGTCACGGATGCTTAGCGGTCAATTATTGGTACGACATGGAGTTCGATGTCAAGTATTGCTACTTCAAGATGCTGGAGAAATTGTGTGGAATGTATTAATAAAATTAAAATATAAAAACTTCTTTAGAAGTAGTTATACATTAATAAATAAATTATTAGAAACAATCGCATACAGATTTCACATTGAATAGCCGAAGGACATCCGTTTTGAAAATTTGAAAACATCGGAGCTATTACAACACCTAGAGACAATATAGAAAAGTTATTTTTTTACACTGACCCAACTGACAAATCGGACCTAAACCGCCGCACGAGAAAATTGTATTACTACATGCATTTGCAGTGCTATATTGATATCTATATATATAAAAATGAATCGCAAAATGTGTTGGTAAGCGCATAACTCAACAACGCCTCGACCAATTTGGCCAAATCTTTTTTTAAAATGTTCGTTGAAGTTCAAGGATGGTTTTTACGGCGAGAAAAAAAAGAAGAATTTAAAATTATTGCTGGAAAAACCCTAAAAATAGCCCTTTTCTTTTTCCCATACAAATGATTTGTAACTAAAACGTAGTCAATTTGAGCTTTATTGCTATGGTATAAAGTTCATATTAAATTACAAGCACTCACTGTTGTCTAAGCAATGTAGGTGTGTTCCTAACGTCAAAGATCATATCTATCACAAAACAATGTGCGTGTGTGCGTTGGAGCACAGAATACATAGTTGGAGGAGTTTAATGTCGCGTTCCGAAACTCGCGTTTCTTTTGTATTAGTTTCGGCACGCGAGATAAAATGCATCAGTTTCCACGTCATTACATGTATTGCCGGAACATTGATGAAAATACGCTCTGTAGTAGCAAAGCTGTTGGGTCCTAGATAGCTCATTGGTTAGTGCAGTCCCTGGATCGCGAATGGGTTCGAGTCCCATTCCGGGGTACAGGTAGATGGATTCTTCCAGCATTTTTCCTTGAGAATGTTTATATATTTTTTTAATTCGAATAGTTTACTTTTATAATGCTGTTGTGTGTAATGTGTTTTTATGATCATAAAAATCTCTTTTTTCTATATTTAATACTATTACTATTAATACATTGCAATAATAATTATGATTCACATGATTAACAATAAAGCGATTACTTACTTTTAAATCCTTATATATGTTTTATTTAATTATTTTTTATTCACAACGCCCTATCACCAGGGTGACGGTTCTGTTCAGGAGAATTTTTTTAAATACGTAGGCAAAAAAACTGCCACATTACAAATCTTTTTGACAGGACGAAGTCTGTCGGGTCAGCTAGTTTATTATAAAAAGATGTACTTAAAACTCTTAAAGATAGATGGAATGGCTCTCGAGAAATTCTCGTCAAGATCTGAGACTGCTGAATTTTTCAAATTGTATTTTTGTACAAAGTATATCTTGTGTTAATAAATAACATATCAATTTCTTAATTATTAGATGACCCCACATATGTGTAATGTTAAGTCACTTTTACAATCACATAATATAAATATGTCATAACTTTATACATATAATATGTCATATCGTTAATTTGTTCACTTAACGCTATGTTAAAAAGTCAGTAACAATGATTAAGCCGTTCTCGAGTTATACGGTTAGTTGCACAAACGTCCATTAAGGTTTAATGACGCCTTTAAGCTCTAATGAATTTAAAATTTGTATGGATAATGCTACTTTAAACTAATGACAATTTTTATGGACGTTTGTGCAACTGGCTGTTAAGCGGTGTAACTAATACGAATTAGTATATTCATTAGCGATTAGATTGTTGTTAAAATATATGTTAATTCGGGTTACGGACTGTTACAATTTTCGCGAGTAAAACAAAAACGCCCAGTACTATATACTACACTATACATTCTTGTAAACTTCAAAAAACAACCAATTACCGTAATGTATAATCAACTTTATAAAATAAAGTCAATTATAATTATATATAAGTTTTTGCGGTTAAGTGGCAGGGATGTACTTTTCTCTGTAACCTGTTAAAGTAGTGGTGGTGGGGATCCATTCCTCCCCCTACTCTCGCGACATTCATTAGTCGATTAACCATATATTTTACTTGTAAAGCACATAATTCTGTGATTTTTCTGTCTCGCATATATTAATATAAAAATAATATTTCTATTACAATTGTAAATAATTTATGTGTCTGTAGAGATGTGTAATAGCGAATTAAAATATAACTTGTTTCGAAATGTTTATTTATTGTGCAAATATTATAGCAATAAAGGATGTCAACAAATGTGTCGGAGTAGTTATTAGTCTTGTCGATGATTTTTTTCCAAACAGCTTGATGCTCTGTAATATAAAATAATGTTTTACTTTAGTGTATCGTAAAGATGGAAATATTTGAAATGGAAAGGTTGGTTGATATTTAAATAATATAAAAACAAAATTGATATTAAAATTGCATCTCTGAACAAGGGAACCAATCCCGCCGTATTTTTAATTTCCATATTTGCTGGATCCCGTTTAAGAATTATATCCATATTGGGTAAGTAAAATAATTAATTATTCGATGTGATTTCATTTATATCATCGGGGTACAGGTTGGAGCGCGGGTGACTCTAGCAACTAGATAATGTGGGTACAGTACCATGATGTCGGGGTACAGATTGGAGCGCGGGTGACCCTAACAACTAGATAATGTGGGTATAGTACCATGATGTCGGGGTACAGGTTGGAGCGCGGGTGACTCTAGCAACTAGATAATGTGGGTATAGTACCATGATGTCGGGGTACAGGTTGGAGCGCGGGCGACTCTAACAACTAGATATTGTGGGTACAGTACCATGATGTCGGGGTACAGATTGGAGCGCGGATAGCGTGGGTACAGTACCATGATGTCGGGATACAGATTGGAGCGCGGATAGCGTGGGTACAGTACCATGATGTCGGGGTACAGGTTGGAGCGCGGATAGCGTGGGTACAGTACCATGATGTCGGGGCACAGGTTGAAGCGCGGGCGACTCTAATGCGCCTACCACACGTGCATGCTTGACCACAGTTTTACTTGCGCATGCCGGCTTGTACACTGAACACTGTGCGTGTAGTTGGTAAAATGGTAGCATGTGCAAACCCCAAAGCCGGCTTGCGCAAGTAAAACTGTGGTCAAGCATGCACGTGTGGTAGGCTCATAACAACTAGATAGCGTGGATACAGTACCATGATGTCGGGGTATAGGTTGGAGCGCGGATAGTGTGGGTACAGTACCATGATGTCGGGGTACAGGTTGGAGCGCGGGTGACTCTAGCAACTAGATAGTGTGGGTACAGTACCATGATGTCGGGGTACAGGTTGAAGCGCGGATAGCGTGGGTACAGTACCATGATGTCGGGGCACAGGTTGGAGCGCGGGTGACTCTAGCAACTAGATAGTGTGGGTACAGTACCATGATGTCGGGGTACAGGTTGGAGCGCGGATAGCGTGGGTACAGTACCATGATGTCGGGGCACAGGTTGGAGCGCGGGTGACTCTAGCAACTAGATAGTGTGGGTACAGTACCATGATGTCGGGGTACAGGTTGGAGCGCGGATAGCGTGGGTACAGTACCATGATGTCGGGGCACAGGTTGGAGCGCGGGTGACTCTAGCAACTAGATAGTGTGGGTACAGTACCATGATGTCGGGGTACAGGTTGGAGCGCGGATAGCGTGGGTACAGTACCATGATGTCGGGGCACAGGTTGGAGCGCGGGTGACTCTAGCAACTAGATAGTGTGGGTACAGTACCATGATGTCGGGGTACAGGTTGGAGCGTGGATAGCGTGGGTACAGTACCATGATGTCGGGGCACAGGTTGGAGCGCGGATAGCGTGGGTACAGTACCATGATGTCGGGGCACAGGTTGGAGCGCGGGTGACTCTAGCAACTAGATAGTGTGGGTACAGTACCATGATGTCGGGGTACAGGTTGGAGCGTGGATAGCGTGGGTACAGTACCATGATGTCGGGGCACAGGTTGGAGCGCGGGTGACTCTAGCAACTAGATAGTGTGGGTACAGTACCATGATGTCGGGGTACAGGTTGGAGCGCGGCCCGCGCGAGTGCTTGCAGAGCGCGGGCGGCGCGCAGACGCCCACCGCGTTGAGCGCCACGCAGGCGCCGCCCGCGGGCCACGCGCGCACCTCCGCCACGCGGCACGCGCCCTCCGCGCCCGCGCACAGCCGGACCGACACGTTCGCTGACACATACACATGCCGCCACTTATTATCACACTTGAACTGTGCCTGAAGGGCTCAGGCTCTTCAAAATCTAGTGTATTATTAAATACGATAATAGAATGAGTCGTCGTAGAGAAAAAATATAATTTTGATAGATCTTATATTTGAGCGATTTTGCATTCAAATGTTATAAAGAAAAATATAGTAGTAGCAAAAAGTAACAAGTGCTTAAGAAATTCGTCAGTTCCGTTAGGTCCTGGGTAGCTCAGTGAATAGAGCGGTCGCCCGGATTGCGAAAGGTCATAGGATCGAGTCCCATCTCGTTTATTTGTTTTATTACGAGTACATTAATAACTCACTTAGGACCTCCGTCTCAGAGTGACCGATCTAAGGTGTCATCGACTGTAAGGTCCCGAGTTCGATTCCGGTTAATGTAGAAAAAGAACTGTTCCATATTGTCTTTTCGTAACAGTTTTCGATACAAGTATTATTCTGTACTTAAATTATAATTATATTATAAAGGGAAAAGATTTGTTTCTTTGCATCGAATAAGCGCCGAAACTATTGGACCGATATTAAACCTTGGGCCCGTCCATTAATCACGTGATTTTTTTCAACATTTTACCATTTTAAGGTTTTAGACTATCTCTTCCCCCTCCACCCAAATCACGTGTATTTTCAACACATACAAAATATCTTAATTTTTGTCGTCGCTTTTCAATTTAGTAATCGCGCGTTTGAGGAAAAAATAAATACACGTGATATATTAATACCCCCTCTGTTCATATTCTAGCGTTATTTTTTGTTATTGTTCCGTTATTGTTAAAGCATAGAAGTATTTTTAATATTATTTTATGTTGTATTACATCACACTGATCGCCGATAGATGGCGCTGATTGTTTTGTGAAACTCGGTATCGAGTCGTATTACAATAATGTATTTATAAACTGTCTGTTCATGTCCAATACATCATTTGCCTACACTATCACAACCTGTCGTTTTATTCATAAACTAGGTTTGGTAGTAATATTTTTGGGAGAATTGTACATGGTACTTCGGACCGGATTTGGTAAGAAGTTGCCTGTTACACTTGTACTCCGTCAAGCGCTTAACACAGATAGTGGATCGCTATCTAGCGCTTATCAGCTGTTCCAAGAAAGGAGACAGCCGAGGATCATCCGAGCGAGGGGAGCACCCCTCGGTGATCCACCTGAAGAGACCATTGCACGGACCAGCTTCGGAGCAGGGGGAGCACCTCCTCGTACATCCAGCGGACTTCGTGAGGGCCAACTTCACAGCACGGGGAGCACCCCGTGGAGCGTCATCATCATCAGTGACGTAAACTTGTGGTATAGTGACGTGTGTGAGTGACGATAAATTGTAAGTAAAATTGAACCTTATCACTAAAGGAAATTTAACTTAGTGCATTGGAAATAATTTGTACTTAGAAAATTTCAAGCTACTTCAGGGACTTAGAATAGTTAGTTAAAAAACGTTCCGACGGGGAACCTATGCCCGATTTTTCCTAAGTGCTAAAAGTTTAAACACTTACAATTTTTTTACATTTCTGCGGACTGAACTTAGAAGAATATCAAGAAATTTCAACTGAACTTTGACAAATGTCACAGTGTTCTAATGGACTTTGAAAAGTTTCTAATCTTAACTTTGTACTGTTTTCAGTTCTGATTTGTGTATGTTATTTGTAGTCACAAAATACTTAGTTGTAACTTGTTTTTTCGACTTTATTGTTTTGCAACTCGTTGTGTTTACATTAATTTATTTGTTGAGTAAAAATGAATTCCGATAAATTGTTAAAAACCCAAGAAGATCTAGCATCTAAAATTTTAAAGGGTAAATCTAATTATAAAAAGACGCCAAGAGAACGTTTGTCTTTATCTTACATAGAGGCTAGATTAGAAAATTTGGAATCTCAATGGAAATTGTTCATAAATACTCATCGTGAAATCGTCTTTGAGATGAAAAAGGATGATTTTTCTAAAACCGAATATGCTTCAAAAGATGTTTATGATGAAGTGGAGGATGAATATTTAAGTTACAAGGCTCTTTTGAAAGATGGGATAGCTAAATTTAAACCTAAGGTTGCTGAAACTAATGAAAAAAATGAGGAATGTAGATTTGAAGAGGGTAGAAAAGTATTTGTAAAGCTACCAGAGATTTCTTTACCTAAATTTTCGGGCAAATACTCAGAGTGGGCGAACTACAAAGACCTTTTCCTTTCTTTAATCCATAATAATAAATCCCTTGAGAACGTACAAAGACTCCATTATTTAAAAAGTTCACTTACTGGAGAAGCTGAGGCTCTGGTGAGATCCATTTCGGTTACTGCGGATAATTACAAGTTATGTTGGGATCGTCTTGTGGCTAGATATGAAAACAAGCGCTCCATAGTGAACAGCATCTTAAAGAGGCTAATGACCCAAAAACATTTAGTAAATGAATCTGCTGGTGCTATTCGCCAGTTACATGACACAACTGGAGAATGTCTCCAGTCTTTAGAAAATTTAGGGATCAGCATTAGCTCTTGGGATCCAATTCTCATTTATGTGTTAAGCCAGAAATTAGACCCTGATTCAAGGGCTAAATGGGAGGCTGAAGTAGCTAAGGTGTCGATTATGGAATTACCGAATTATAAACAATTTGAGAAGTTTCTTGATACACGATTCAGGTCTCTGGAATACAAAGTTGCAAATAAAAAGCATAATAGTGAAGCTGAGACCACAAAGTCACACACGGTCACAACTATAGTTTTTAATTGCGCATTTTGTGAGGATAAGCACAAAATAAGCAATTGTAAGAAATTTGCGAAAGAAGACATAGATTCAAGGAGACAGTTTGCTCAATCTCAACGATTGTGTTTTAACTGTCTGAGTAGTAAACATACGGTGTACGAGTGTAATGTATCAACCACTTGCCGTTTATGTAAAAAAAGACATCACACCCTTCTACATCCCAAACAAGTAGGCAAACAGAACCAGTCTCCTGGAACAAGCAAAGTGGTTGCAGTTGTAACTGATGCATCGTCAGAGACAGAAGATAATGAAGAAAATGATTTTTCAGATCAGAAGACAGTGCTGACAAGTCGTATATCAACAGGTCGTAGTACAGTTCTTCTAGCCACTGCTTTAGTAACGGTAGCGGAACCTACTAAAAGCAGTTCGGCCAGCGTCCTGAGATCCTTATTAGACCAAGGATCTCAAGCGTCCTTTATCACAGAATCTGCGGCTCAACGGTTAGGCCTCAAACGGACTAAAGAACCTGTAAAGGTTTCTGGCTTAGGTGGTACCCAATCACTCGTGTCTAAGTCTGCTGTAACTTTACGTATCACATCGCGAAGTGATTCTTCATATTCTTTGTTTGTGAAGGCTCATGTAGTGAACAAGTTAACAACTTTGTTGCCAAGCAAAAATGTTTCTTTCGATATTTCGCTCCTGAAACTTTCTTCCTTTGATTTGGCTGATCCATACTATAATCAGCCGGGTGGCATAGATCTTCTTTTGGGTGCTGAAGTGTTCAGCAGAATTCTCATGGAAGGTATAATCAAAGGAAATGGTGGGCGTTTCGTTGCTCAAAACACCAAGTTTGGCTGGATATTGTCTGGGGTAGTAGAAGATTCAGATACCCATATCCAACAAAATGTTGAAAAATTTAATTTCCACGCCATTACCACAACAGATGTTGATGGTGACGAGTTATTAAAGCGTTTTTGGGAACTGGAATCTGAACCCCCCATGACTAAGAAAATCCTCACGCAAGAAGAACAAGCTTGCGAGGAATTGTTTAGCGCAACAACCAAAAGAGACGACGCTGGAAGATATATCGTCAGACTTCCTTTTAAGACCGAGAACCCAAAATCTAGATATGGGGGCTCCAAGAGTATAGCACACAAAAGGTTTACCATGCTTGAAAAGCGGTTGTCAGGCAATCTGACCCTCAAAACAGAATACTCAAAAGTCATTCACGAGTATTTAGCAATGGGTCATATGCAAATGTGTGATAACAGATTCAACGAAAATGCAGTCTATTTACCCCACCATGCCGTCATTCGCGAAGACAAAGATACCACAAAAGTGCGTGTAGTGTTTGACGCTTCATGTAAGGGAACTAATGGTTCTTCGTTGAATGGCGATTTAATGGTTGGTCCAAAACTACAACCTGAACTGCGACATTTAGTGATGAGGTGGCGATGTTATCCTATCTCGCTAGTCGCTGACATTGTGAAGATGTATCGTCAGGTCAAGGTTGCCGATGAAGATGCTGATTTTCAACGCATACTTTGGCGTGAAAATCCGAATGAGCCAATGCAACACTTCCGTTTGACGAGAGTAACTTTTGGTACTTCGTCGGCTCCTTACCTAGCCGTCCGTGCTCTTCAACAGGCAGCACATGATGAAGGAAGAGACTTTCCAGAAGCAGCCAGTAGAGTTATCTCAGACTTCTACGTTGATGACTTAATGACTGGTTGTCATTCCGTGGCGGAAGGAACTCAGCTTTATAACCAATTGACTGAGTTACTGGGCCGAGCTGGTTTCCCCCTTCAAAAGTGGTCTAGTAATAATAAGGAGCTCCTCCAAAGTATTGGTGGGAAAAAATCAGATCAGAATTTAGAACTCAAAACTGATGAGGTGATAAAAATTCTAGGTTTGATATGGAATAGAGAAGCAGATGAGTTTCGCGTGAAAGTCAATCTAGGCTCGGTATCTGATGCTCTGATAACCAAACGAAGAGTGATATCGGATATAGCCAAGTTGTTTGACCCTCTTGGATGGTTAGCACCCACGGTCACCAAAGCTAAGATTTTTATTCAACAACTTTGGTTATCTGGAATCAGTTGGGATGATCGTCTTCCTGATGGTTTACTTGCCGATTGGTTGAATTTCAGACATGACCTGGTGAATTTGGAGTCGTTCATTATCCCACGTTGGATAAACTCGTCAAAAAATGACAAGGTATTAGAGTTACATGGTTTCTCTGACGCTTCCAATGTCGCCTATGCTGCAGTCGTATACGCTAGAGTTGTAGACAGAAAAGACAACGTTCATGTTAGCTTGGTGACATCCAAAACACGTGTGGCGCCAATTAAGCAAGTGTCTATACCCCGCTTAGAACTATGTGGGGCCTCTCTACTTGCTAAACTTTTAAATGAAGTAGCAAAAGTTTTGGACGTACCTAAGTACAATATTCATGCTTGGTCCGACTCGACCATAGTATTAGCTTGGCTTAGTAGTCACCCCAGTAGGTGGAAGACGTTTATTGCAAATAGGGTATCTGACATTCTTACTACCATGGATGGAAGTCAATGGTATCATGTCTCTAGTGAGGACAATCCTGCGGATTGTGCATCTAGGGGACTTAATGCCTCTGACTGCGTCCAGAACCAACTGTGGAAACATGGGCCTAAATGGTTGCATAATCTTCACATAAAGTACAGCAAAGATAATTTCAAAGATACTCACTTGGAAGAAAAAAAAGCTAAGGCAACGTGCCATGTAGCTATAGAGAATACTGATGAAAGCGAAGAGCTACTATCACGATTTTCTTCTCTTCGTAAACTTACCCGCGTTGTATCCATCTGCTTACGAGTCTTGCGCTGGATCAAAACTAAAAAAGAAAACAACAGATTAAATAATGTGTTAACAGCAAAAGAGATAAATGAATCTTTACTTACCTGCATAAGGATATGCCAGAAGAATCATTTCCAAGAGGAAATAGAAAGTTTACACTCATCTAAAATTATCAGTAGAAAGAGTAAGCTCAATTCGCTAAGTCCATATCTGGATGAAAAACATATTTTGAGAGTCAGTGGGCGTTTACAAAACGCTTCTTTGGAGGAAAATACAAAGCATCCCATAATAATTCCTCACAAAGCACATTTTACTAATTTGTTGATTGACGATGCCCATCAACGAACCATGCACGGTGGTCCGCAACTGATGCTCAATTATTTGAGGTCCAAGTATTGGATAATTGGTGCTAAGAGTTTGGTACGTCAGTTTATCCATAAGTGTATCACTTGTGTTCGTCATTCGAAACAAGTTAATCAACAAATGATGGGGCAGTTGCCAACAGCAAGAGTTACGGCACACCGTCCTTTTCATAAAACAGGAGTTGACTATGCTGGTCCCATCAGTGTCAGAACCACGAAGGGTAGAGGTCATCGCTCCACTAAGGGATATATTTGTGTATTCATCTGCATGGCCACTAAAGCCATTCACTTGGAAATGGTCAGCGACATGACCTCTGAAGCTTTTCTGGCAGCTTTCAAGCGCTTAGTAGCCAGACGAGGTCACGTCGCCGAAATGTGGAGTGATAATGGCACAACGTTCGTGGGCGCAGCTCGTCAACTAACTGAGTTATTTGATGTGGAAAGTTCGTCTGTTGCCGTAGAAATCGCGAACTGGCTGTCCTCAAATGGAACAACTTGGCACTTCATTCCTCCCCACTCTCCAAATTTTGGAGGGTTGTGGGAAGCGGCAGTAAAGTCGACTAAGTTTCACCTTGTAAGAGTTATAGGTACAAATACATTGACATTCGAAGAGATGACAACAACACTCGCTCAAATTGAGGCATGCCTTAATTCGAGACCGATGACAGATTTATCTTGTGACCCAAATGATCCTTGTCCATTGACGCCAGGTCATTTTCTAGTGGGCGAGCCGCTATTACTTGTACCAGAACAGAATTTTGAAACTTCAAATATGAGCAGTTTGAAACGATGGCATCTTATTCAACGGCTTACTCAAGATTTTTGGCGCAGATGGTCTGAAGAATACCTTACACAGTTACAACATAGATACAAGTGGAAAGACCAAACAGCTGAACCAAGCGTGGGAGATATAGTCCTCATCAAAGATGATGGGCTACCCCCAACTCGCTGGTTATACGGTAGAATAGTTGAGAAACATCCAGGACATGATAGTCTCACTAGAGTCGTTAGTATCAAATGTAAGGAACACATTATTAAACGCCCTCTTTCAAAGCTCATATTTCTTCCAAAATCTGAGTAGTAGAAAATCATTATTAAGAACCTACTACACGACTGTTTTCTTGAGTATATTTTTGTTTTGTTTTAACTTTCTTTCTTTCGTTCAAGGTTGTAGGTATTATAATAAGATTTATTTATATATTGAAACTTTCCATGAAATGCTTTAAAATTAATTTAATTTTTTTTTTTATTTACAGTCCACTATCAATCGATAAATTTCATTATATACATTTTTTTTTTTTACTTAATGGACTCGGTCCATGGCGGGCGGTATGTTCATATTCTAGCGTTATTTTTTGTTATTGTTCCGTTATTGTTAAAGCATAGAAGTATTTTTAATATTATTTTATGTTGTATTACATCACACTGATCGCCGATAGATGGCGCTGATTGTTTTGTGAAACTCGGTATCGAGTCGTATTACAATAATGTATTTATAAACTGTCTGTTCATGTCCAATACATCATTTGCCTACACTATCACAACCTGTCGTTTTATTCATAAACTAGGTTTGGTAGTAATATTTTTGGGAGAATTGTACACCCTCCCTCCCCCGTATGATATTTCGTGATTTTTGACAAACTCTCTCCCCCCGTTTGGAGCCTCACGTGAATATTGAACGGCCTCCTACGGTAAGCTAGTTCAGAAGGGTGACTAGGCTTTAATTTACGTGTTGCGTGGAAACACTTAGTTAAGTATAAACTCACGTCCTCTATAGTATGGATCTGGCCAAGTGTCCGGCAGCGCGGACGTGAGCATCGCGCTGTTGGCCGCCGCCTCCGCGCCCACGCACTCCCCCTCCGAGCCGCCGGTGTCGTTCAACTTGCAGCAGATACCGCACATCCTTAACTCTGATACTACACCGCCCTACAACACGTACGATTCAGTTAATTTACTGAAAGTATATTGTAAAGAAATATGAAGAAAATAACAAGTAAACCAAGGTTTGGTTTACTTTTTATTTTATTGAATGTTAATGTTGAGAATGCTCAAGTAGCGAATTTCTCCTTGTATATCATGGTTACATGGTTATCAAACCCGCTACCTTTTTTGACTACTGAGAAATGAGACGTTCTTAGGGGCATTAACCACGTGAGGTTCGAAAGGGTGGGAGGGTTTAATAAAAAATCAAGAAATGTCACAAGCGACGTGTAGTGTCTAGTAGTATCAGTGTATTTATTTTTTCTTCAAACGCGCTATTACTAAACCGAAAAACGACGTCACAATTTAAGATTTTTGTGGGTACTATAAAACACACGTGATTACCCATCCACCCAAATCGAGGCACCTAGTCTTAAACCTCACCATGTGTCAGGGAGGGGAGGGAGTTAAATATGTTGAAAAAACATCAGATGATTAATGGACGACCCCTTATATGGAAAAGCTTAGGAGTTTCAAAATCGATTTTCTTGAAATCTTCGGTTAGATCTGGTGTGTCTGTCTAATGAATGTCAAATTTGTATCGGTAATATCGCTTTAAAGTAATGAGAATTTTAATGGACGTTTGCGCAACTAGCTGTGTATTGCTTGTATTTCTTATCAGCTAAAGGACGTCTTGAAAGTGTGGTAGATAATATTGAACTATTCAAAAGTACATTACTTCTAATAAGTTAGTTAAAAAAAATATATTATGACTTTCATTTTCTTTGAAGTGTTTCTCATAACGTAAAAAATATTAACCGGCCCTTTCTTGGGACATTCGCACTCCCTGAGTCCCAAGGTGGCGCACTCGGCCGCGTGACAGGAGCCGTCCCCCAGACACCGGCCCCCGAGACCGCACTGACACTCGGTGGTATTGTTACAGGAACATTCGCGCTCCTGGGAGCTGCAATCCTAATAAATACCTATCTAAATAAAACCTTTTTTGTCTGTTTTTGAAAATTGAAACGATTTGTAAAATATTATAGGCCGATCACTTTCTAATTATTTGCATATTTAAAAAAAATCAGGCAAAAATCGCGGAAAATTTGGTGACCATAAATAAACTCGCATACTTACTCTACGAACACAGAAATTACTCCTTTTCGACTTCTAGGTCTGTTAAAAAGGGTAAGTATGACCGTCCCAAAAGGGCAATTGCATTTCAAAATGTTCACATAACGTGATACGCAATCTAGGTACACCAATGTTGTAAGGTCTCCCAATAATTATTATAGTTAGATTATTATAATTTATGTATATATAATAATGTACAATCATGCTTACTCGCCACAGACCTCAGAATTGTATTCATTATTTTATAATTACTCATACATAGGGGAAGTTTGGCACCATTCGTACACGGGGAACCTTCATACAGTCACTACTTCATCTTGTAGAAAAGTCTATTTATTACAACTTTGTGTCAGTGGATAGGCGCCGGCGACTGCCAGTTGTCCCCGAAGTTAGCCACACATGAAGTCACTGCGAGCGAAACTAGAGAACTTAAAGTGTTTTGGCATGCTCTTAGTAAATACTTTTTTAATGTTTTTGGATCTTCCGTGCTTTAATTACACGTCAAATTTTACTGGATTATTGCTTAATCGTAAGTGAATACGATTAAGATAATAATAATATATCTATTATGTGTATTTTTCTACGTGGGTTTTGTGTTAGAAAAAATAATTTTATTCTTGATCTTCGGGGCACGTTCGTACATTTCCAGCAAGGGCACATTCGTACGCGTATGTATGTACCCCGTAACCCCCTGTGTGCTAACAATTTTTATTATTATATCAGAAAATTTAGAAAAAATAATCGGAGTTTTAAGAAGAAAAGGCAGACACGTTCCCAATATTCATTAAAAGAGTTTTTTTGCATCTATAAAAGGTGTTTTTATATAGTAAAAAACAAATAGTTTTACTAAAAAGACTAATCAATTGAAAAAGTTCAAAAACACATTTCGGAATCACGATATTGGAAGTCACAACACTATCAAATGATTATGATAAAGTTTTGAAATATAAATGTTTAACAAAATTGTTATGAAACTGGCTTCGCTGATATAGAATGGATGCACGGTTTTCGTAAAAAAGATAATTAGACTCTAAACGACATATAGACATATGTCGTTTAGTTTATTACATCGTTGATAAGTTTGAGATCAATAAAAACGATATTTTTTAATTAATTTGTTATTTTACTTAATATATATGAAGTTACCACACTGTCTGAATGTTCCCCGCCCCATGTACGATTGTACCCCGTAATAGGGGTAGATTCGGACATTTATAAGCTTTTAGTAAAATTCAATCCTTTGATATATTATGCAAGATATCGGCTTTGAACTTTTTAAATAAGGAGCAGAATGTATGCTTTATGTTTTAATAAGTAATTGAGTAATTTATATTTGATTATCAATATTTTAAAAATCATTGACTAAAAAGTGTACGAATGGTGCCAATCTTCCCCTACTTAGGTGCAATTTTACATTGGCATGTAAATATGTTAGGGGGCGTCCATAAATTACGTGAGGTGTTTTTTTTAATTTTCTGAGCCTCCCTCCCCCCCTGGTGAGATGTCGTGAGATTTTATTCAACCGCCTCCCCCATTCCCCAATCTCACGTGAGATTTTTCAAAATGCAATTTGATGAGTACTTGCGAGTATTTGCCTTGTTGTAGTATCGAATACTCAGTATCGAGTATAGCTTTTGAAAGTATCGATACCTACTCCATATCGAAAGTATCGTTAGAACCCTACAAATATGGTGGTTTGACATTCAGTAGATGTATAGCGTCGAAGTATGAATGAAATTATTTTCTTTTGAACGAATTAGTGAATGATCTTAATCGTATACGATTACGCTTAAGATTAAATCTTAAGCATGTACAATCTAGATTAAATGGACCAAAATAGTATTTTTTTGTTTTTGTTTCAATCAGAAAAAAAAATTGCGTGATATTTGCCGAGACCCCCCCTCTCTCCAACGTAAGATTAGATGAGATTTGCCTCGACCCCCTCCCCCCCTTAAACATCTCACGTAATTTATGGACGTCCCCTTATTAAAGAAGTGGGTACTGACGATGCCACTCCTGCTGAGATTAGCGTACTGACAGTTTGAGGTACAGCAGAGTCCTTGTGAGGGGTGGCACGACGCGCTCGGTGACACCGAGCAGCCTTCCTTGTGGAGAGCCCTGAATAAGTTATATGCAATAGATTCACTAATATAGCTTTCATATGTATCGATAATGTAGCATACAAAGTGACAACCTTTATTAACAAGATAAATACTTTAGGTAAATACTAAACTAAACCCTTGCCGCGTAAGCGTAACTTCTGTAGGTACGTTTATCAATAATTTATAAAATCTTAGGATATCATCAAAAACTGAAGTAAACTGCGATGAATCATTTGATTTTAATATTTGGACCTAAACTCGAAAACGTTAATTCTTCAATCATTTCATCAATGTAAAACAATATGTATACTGAAAATATAATAAATATGTCTATAAAATTCTGTATTGATTGATAGGCTGTATGATAATTTTCTTTTGTTAGATTAATGCCCGTTTTCACTAAGCTCAGGAGTCGCCCAAATCTGACGCCTAAATATTTGGGCATTGTTTATGGTGAAAATGCATTTTACCAAAGACAAGGAACCACATAACGATTTTAGGTAATGCTTAAAGTTAGGACATGCATTGTGCGACGCCTAGCGCTGGGTGTTTGCGTAATGTTACATATACATTTACTTTACTATTTTGCCATAAAGGATGTGTCAAGGGATAAAATCAATTTAGTAAATTGGAATCAAGGAGAGTATCTATATATTGGTATAAATTATTAATATAAACAATGAAATTGTGTGAATTTTCGCACTTTCTACATATGGACATTGACGACTTGAGTGTTCGTGTACATACAAGACCACGTATTTATTATTTTTTTTGTTTTATTACCTCAAAATACCTATATATTATTGTTTTTTCTCCTTACGTGTAAAGGCGACTAACGTGACATTGACGAAATAGTGTTAACACAAATAGACCATCCATAAAAAAATAAGATTAACTGAAGAATGCAAAATCATAGACAAACTTTGCCTATATAAGCGAATGCTTAGTTAGGTATTACCTAATCTAACGTTATAGATTTGGTAAAACGACAAATCTGCTTATGCCAAACGTAATATTATATAAGTGATTTCTAGTTAAGATAACCTATGGCTTGTTCTAAATTCGTGAAAACGGGCATTAGAATGGATTTGACACAATGGTGGTTGTTTGCTGGTCATAACTTACAGTTATAACAATTTCTTTAAAATTAAATTTACACCCACTATAAGTAAATTTAGTTTTAAAGAAATTATTATAACTGTAAGTTTCAATTTGATTTCTCTTTATTTTTTTAATTGTAAGGCCAATTGCGGTAGATTCATGTACAGTTCACAATATAGTATATTTACTTAAATAACGCTTAGTGTAACAAAACTATTTTAACATGTAACTTGTATTGTCCCTTCTCTTTCTATGATTCTGTATGACACCCATAACACCTTCATTATATACTTTACTACCACTCTTAATTGTATGTAATAGATAAATATGTGGTAAACGTTGCTGGTGTCAGTTAGTAAAATAGTATACAACTACTAATTAATATATAAAAACTTTGTAACTGTTTGTTTACCCAAATAAATAGAAAAAAATAACAAATAAATTGCAATCTGACCCTTCTTCGAAAATGAGCGCGCCGCCAGCGCGCGGCGTGCAGCACGGGTCCCTGTGCACGCAACGAGACGGCAACCCACAGTCACACGACTCGCCTTCCTCCACTATACCTTCAGATAACAATCACGTTATGGTTTACTACGTAATATCAGACGTCACAACAGCCGGCGGGAAAGCTTTACCTAGACTGAC